GGATTTACTCTAATAAACAAAGGACAATTACTTCTCTTTAAAATGATCTTACCCTTGTAATTGTCAGTAACTACCACAATTTTCAATTGGAATCTTATTCTAGAGTTCTGTACCATTGATTCTAAAACCAATCTTATTTTTTCTGGTGAATTCTGATTGTATTGTTCCCTTTTATTTTGTTTCCCCCTTTGATTTCTCAACACTGTTATGAATTTCAGTGCACTAACTTTCATTCACAGATGACATACCTGAATCCCTTAAAATATTTAACAATTTATCTTACATTAATCTTTTAGTATTGCAAAAATCACTGTTCATATGTCATAATAAATCCTTTTGAATTTAAGGTGGCAAGGTGTTAAACTTGTGTCTTAACACAGGAGAAAAGTTGCTCGTGTATAGTAGTGATTTTTCATATGCATAATTGCATGAATATTTCCACATTCCCTTGTTTAATAATCCTTTGTCAATATGAATCCTGCATCTGTATAAGTAGTTTCTGTGTTATACAGATTTATATATAAATCAGTGGAGAAGGGAAACCACGCTCTCTGGCTGCACTCATGTTGCAGAAGAGAACAGGGGCTTGATAGTCAGGGTGCTCACTGCAGCAAGCTGCCCCCGTCCACTGGGGCGCAAGGAGGAGCAAAGCGGAGGAAGGGGGAAGGCCTGCCTGCTGCTAGACAAACCACACAGCCCCTCCAGCTGGAGAGGAAGTGAGTCAGGTGATTTTACTACCACCAACTCATGGGAGCTGTGTGTCACTTTCAGTGAATGAAATCATATTCCCATTCAGGCACGGACTGTCCTGTAGTGAAACATAAACTCTGTTGTCTCATGAAGGCGAAATCCACCTTTGCCCTGGTACCATCTATTGTGACCCATACATTTCTTATGAGAATCTATTTTCTTTTCCTAAGATGTTTTCTTTGAAAACAAGAATGCATAAATATGTCCACTGCAAGAGAAATCTATCAGTTAACCACACCAACTATGATAATAAAATTTCTTTTTAAGCAAGGGAATTTCTGCAAAAGTCATTACAAACGCTGAGCCCAGGGGCATTTCAGCAAAAGAAAGTGAGGCTAAGACAGGAGGCCAACCAGGCTTTTCCCCACGCACCACCACGCAGGGAGCCAGACCTGGGACCAGAGACAGAAAACAAAGAGGGAAGAACTGGTGGCGAAGAGCTCTGACTACAGATGTCTGCAGATAACATCGGTGCAAACTACAAAACAGGACAGTGTTTTTGCCTTTTAGAACATCCATTCAAAAAACCACTCCCAGAACACTGGGCAAACACACAAAGCCCTCAATATACTAAAACCAACCTTCGCTCTGTACTAGTAGTGTGAGAAAGTCAAGGAACTGTTTAATTCCACCTCAGCTCGGCAAAAGGGGCAGAGGGTCAATGAAACACCCTTGCACGGCCTGTAGAGTCCCAGGAGGACGGCACGAAGGTTAAGGTTGAGATCAGAGATCCGGATCACAGAGGCTGAGATCAAAAATCCGGATACACGGGCACAGTGGCAGTGTACAAAGTCACGCCTCCCTCTTCCACAGTGCCCAGGCGCAGTGGACAGGGGGCGTGGCAGGGGGCGTGGCACCGTCTTCTGCACCCCTCTGAGGTGACTCTGAGGAGGCGAGAGATTTCAGTTCAACCTGCAGGCCCAGGATCTCTCTCTGGCCTGGACCCAGCACCGGTCCTGCTCTGGGGGAGAAGCGGGAGGGACGCGCTGAGTGGTGGCTGAGCTAAGGACCCAGACAGCGGGCTCCAGGAAGGTCAGAACAGGGGGTAGGTGGCCTGGAGATGCTTGTAGATTTTTTTGGCAGGTATCTTTATTACTAGTGTTGAAAACTCTTGCAAAAGGACCACTTCTCAGAGATGTCTTCCAGTTGTAGCTGGCTGTTGGGATTTCATTCTGGTGTAAGATCCCGCTTCTTTAAACTATTGGGGATGAGGAGTCGCTGCCTATTCGGCCTTCTAGCTCCTGGTGCTTTGGCCCTGGCCTGCAGTAGTTTACCGTGCTCATGCAGTCTTGGACTTGGCACATAAAGAAGAACAGCTGATTAGACCCGTTATGTGGCCTTGGCTGGAGCAGTACAGGGAGCAATAACAAGAGCATCCAGCACTCCCAGAAAACGACAAGCTTGGTAGCTGTTAATTTCCACCTTGAACTGTAGGAACAGGATTTGTAATTACATAACCAAATCGGAAACAAACCAGAAAATTATGTAGAGTCGATGGCCTCTCAACATGGCAATTTTACTCTCAGGGAAGAAAATTAGGAAAGGACTAGGGGAAAAATGCAGAAATAGAAGAGAAAGGGATTAGAGGCAAGGCTGGAGATCAAAGGAAGATTACACAGGCTGTGGGAACTGGTGAAGAAGATGGGAGGGGAAGAATGGAAGAGAGACAAGAACAGATAAAAGAAGACAAGTAGCTCGGGACATGTTCTTGTATAAAAACAAGAACAACAAGAAGAAAAGATTGAAAATAAAAATTTTAAAAATCTTTAAATTTAAAATTTAAAAGTGCAGGAGGCAGCAAGATGGTGGATTCCTAAGCAACAGGGAAAGAGCCTCTCCGAGTGTTGCTGTGCACAGCTGAGTTATAGCAATGCGGAGAAGATAAGAAGGAGGGAGGAGAGTCCTCCCAGACTCAAAAAGGAACTGAGGTGTGAATTGAAGCCCACAGAGAGGGTGAAGAGAGAAACTTCAATAAAGAAGAAGGAGGTACCCAGTGTGCCTTCTGCCTGAGGTGGGAACGCTGTGCAAAAGGAGTGGTCCAAACCTGCCAACACAGGGCAAACGCTGGGGACCCTAGAGGCCTCCACAGAGATGCAGCAGTGGAGGGGATCAGCAGCTGACTGCACTAGCTGCTGGTGGGTGTCATACAACCACTTTGGAAAGAGAGCAATAGAGCTCAGGACTCAGAGTGGCTGCTGGCTCCATCCAGCAGCTCCCAGCTGGGTCAAACCCATGGAAGGTACGCGGATGGCTGCAAGCCACCAGAGGGTGCAGACTCGCTGGCTTCTGGGGATAAATCAGCACAGATCAGGATGCTGTTTCTATGCCAGGGGGACTGCTGTGAGTTCGAGACCAGACGTGGCTATGAAGTGAGCTGAAGACCAGCCTGAAATGCATAAAGAGACCCTGTCTCAAAAAAAAAAAAAAAAAAAAAAAAAAAAAAAAAGAAAAGAAAAGAAAAAAGAAAACTATAAAATTTAGTGGTTTCATGAACTTTTTGGGTTTTATGAATTTTGAAGAGTGTTTAGCTCAAATTTGCTCATTTAGTAGGCAAAGAAACTGAGACACATAAAATAGCTCCAATATTATAAACTACTAATTCGCACACACTCCTTTCCTTTATATGTTGCATACATGCCGGTCTGCATTGTTTTTCTGCATAATGTGTTGAAATAACTGATCTTTCCTCTTGAATCTTGGGTAAGAATGATGCCAGCAATTTACTTTGGATTTTTAAAATAAGTTTTTGTTTTGCTTCCAATGACTAAAAGAACACATGCTTATTCTAGAAAAATTGAAAGAAAAGAGTAAAAAAAAGAAAATGAAATTTACCTACAGTCCCATTACTCAATGATGTGTTTTTAATATTTCAATATATTTAATAAAATTGGGATGATTCACATATATTTTGTACTTGGGTTTTTTTCATTTGCCATTATTCCACAGACATTTCCTCCATATCTTTAAACAGTCTTTGAAACTATGATTTCAAAAGACTGCGTAATATTTTTCCACATGGATTTATCATAATTCAGGCAACAGAATGAAACGGTCTTAAGAGTCAGTCAGACTTGGGATGGAGGTCCAGCCACACCCCTTAACAGCTGGTTGGTGCAAAAGCAGTTACTTACTCTCATTGAGCCTCAGTCCTTAGTTTGTGAAGTATTAATAATAGTCACCACACGGGCTTTCTATGAAGGCTAAATGATATAGAGTTTATATGTAATTTGCATTCATTGTTCCTGCACACTACAAGGACTCAATAAGTGGGAGCTATTTATGATTTATGTTACCATAGGCTTATTATTGGACATTTAGGTTGTTTTCAGTGATAAATAAGCAACAGGTGAAATCATAGCCACTAGTGTAATCTACCTGAAATATATATTTATTATGGCACTCCTGTGCTTAATATCTTCTGTAGCTTCCCATCAAGGGTTCTCAAACTTTTCTTTTAGCTCAGAACCCTTTTGGTAAATA